TATTTAGGGTACCCCAAAAGGGACCAGAATTTTGACAACTACCCAAACGAGTAGGCTCCTTGTTCGAATGAGCCTCTACGGAAGCCTAAGAGATGATCGATATCATCCCTTCGGGCTCCTTATTGTGATCATCGCATACAGGAGCCCCAAAACCCTATCTACTCTAGTTATTAAGGCCCCCCACATCACTGTACCACTGATTTGCTGAACGCATCTTTGAGGCTTCATGAGCAGCGCCCTGAACCCTAAACCCAGGCCCGCATCATGAACGCTAGAAGGCCCGGAAGAAAAGCCTATGAAACCGTACAGAACCCTATAAGTAAGACCCATCTACAGCCCCATATACAAAAACCCATACAGCAGCCCAAATGAAGCCTCCAACACCGCTAAACCCCAAACCGCATGGCAGGGCGGCCATGGTCGCGCCCTCAGCTGCAGAGCTATTCGTGAGCCACGACTCTGGGTTTTTCTGCAAGTAATACAGGGGCCAAATGCTATTACCAATACTGGTTTCGGAGTGTATAAGTATATAGTATAGCATGAAGTACCCCAAAACCCTATTTTAATTATCAGGGGCCTGCAGTGTTTAGGGGCGCCGAGTTTGTTGTTTAAGGCGGTTTAGGGTTGGGTGCTGGGAATATCGGGTTCTGAGCTATTACTGCACGAGTAGTATAAAGCTACTAGCGACATCCCCTGTAGTCCCGTCCCTTGTAGTCCCGGTATCATGTATACGTATCACAACTGACGCGCTGAGGCGCAAGACGCGGAAGCGGTCTTCACGAAGGGCACTGGTCTCAGCAACGCGATGCAGAACACGTGCCTCCGGCAGCGACGAGGGCTCACTTGTTGATTTGCGCCGGTGTTGTGCTCCTCTCTTCCTTCCTGATGTGTACGCATGTATGTGTGTTGGGGATGGGCCAGAAGGAGTAGTGTGTTGCCCTCATGCCAGCAGTGAGCTTCGCCCTTCGAATGGTAAGGCTCTGTGTCGGTTTGCCGAACGTCGTTATCGCCCCAATGGGTGCTGGTACCGGCTACTTGGCAGACAACGCTGGATGCAGCCGGCCTTGAGATTGTGTTTTTGTTGCTGTGAGTGTTGCTCGACATTCTGTGTTTGGTGTGCGTGAGCAGCCAAGAAATCAAAGCGGGCGAAGCCTGCAAATCGTTCATCTCCATTTGGTGGGCCAAGCTGATGATGAAGAGGGCACGTGGCTGAGCTGTGTGACGCTGATCTCATAGGGACCCTGAGGGAGCGAAAGGTCGAGGGGGATAGGGGACTGTCGGGCTATACTTCCTTAAGTAGGCCTCATCAGGCCCTTACCAGCGGTATTAAGGCTCCCGACCCCCTCTCCCCCCCAACCCCTCTAAGGGGTCTTTATGATGATCGTACATTCGTTGTTCACACAGTCTATGTGTGTAATCCTTTCAGAAGCTCTGCGACCTGTGCAACATCCTTGTCTTGACTGCCACTGCCTGTCAGAACTTGGCCTACTTCACCTGGAAGCACGCCATCATGAATCCGGTAGCTCTGGCAAAGTTACCTGGCGCTTGGCCCGCCCTAGCTAGTAGTGTCTGCATCCACAGCTTGGAGTCGAGGCGTTTGCAGTCCTTTTCTTCGGCATGCCTCCTAAATGATCACTTAAACCCTCAACACCCAAACACCAAAATATAAAAAGGGAGTGGAGGGCAAACCATCCGCGAACAACCCAGGTCGTCAAAGACGCAGTCTAGGGTTTTGCATAGGTTTAGGGGTTTAGGGTTTAGGATGGGAGTGGATGAATGAGGTCTAACACCTCAGGGCACACCAAAAACAAAAAGAAAACTACAGCCAGCCCAGCTCATGGGTGCAATTCGCAAACTTTCTTGGCCTGTGGTGGGTGACCTTGTTGTGACGGGATGACATTCGACCAAGAAGAATTGATTAGGGGGTACCGTATTTGTTTCAACTTTCCTGGTTTTATGCTTGCGAAGAAAGGCACGTCAGAAGGAAAGACAAAAAGGACCAGAAAAACGAAGGAAAGGCACGAACGCAAGACAGAAAGACAGGAAGGAAGGTTGGAAGGAAGGAATGAAGGAAGACAGAAAGGAAGAACTAACGAAAGAAAGAGGCAGAATGAAAGAAAGATTGACAGGACAAGCGAACGAAAGAAACAAATAAAGAAGGGAAAGCAGGAAGGAAAGAAGGCGAGAGAAAGAAAGAGCATATATGAAGAAAGAACGAAGGAAAGAAAAGAGCAGGACAACAGAGCGAGGAAAAAAAGAACCGAAAGACGCATATCTCGTATCCGAGTTTTCAAGTTTCCGAAATCCATGATAGAGGCATTCTGTTTGCAAATGGGGGGGCCGCCCTCCCCGGCCTTTTGAGCCGCAAGCTCGCTTGAAACATCATCCTGCCAGCAGAAACAGAGTCGATATGGACGCTTTCAGAACCCCTGATACGGACAAACATCGGGTTTGCAAGTTGAGGGGGCTGTGCCCACATATGATGATGATGATGGTGATGGTGATGGTGATGGTGATGATGGTGATGATGATGGTGATGAACCGGAAACGCAAAATGAGGGTGCATGCTCAGGGTATATAAATATCATGATGATGATGAACCGGAATCGCCAAATGAGGGGGCGTGTTTCAGATATATATGGTGAACCGGAATCGCCATCGCAAACCCCCAGTAGTCTTCTACAACACCTTGCGAATCAGAATTCTCCAATAGCTTGACGCAAAACGAAGCGTTGTGGAGTGCAATTCCAGACTAGCTTGATGCTATATGATGACCCGGAGTCGTCAAATGAGGGGGCGCTTTTAAGATATGATCTGCCGGAATCGTCAAATGAGGTTTGACGAAAAAGCCAGATTCTCGAGACGAGTTACCGCTGAGAGGGCTGTGGAAGCCTGAAGCCCGAAAAACTAGCTAAAAGAAACAAAAACACACAACTGAGAAATCCAGGCGGGCGAGGAGGACAGGCAGGACCCGGGGGCCATGTTCCGAAAACCGCAAGCAAGAAGCGCAACCAAAGCCAGGAAATTTCACCAAAAAAACATTGACAACAAAAATCCTGGCTCCTTGCTTAGGGCGTTGAGCCTTGAGCAAAATCAATTGCCTAGGTGTTTCTTAGGAATTATTTCTTATGCTTATTGTAATAAAAGAACCTAAGGGTTAGTTTGAATATCATTAGTATTATGGTTAAAAGGGCTTTCATTGTAGTTATGAGGGCGTTTTTTGTATGCTCGTAAGCGAGCTTGCTGAGTCCCTTCTCCCCTGCTCCTTAGAGGAGGAAACGCTTGGAGCCTTGAGCCCCTTGCAGGTCTGCCGAAGCTCGGAGCCCGAGACCTTCAAATGAACACCGAAGCCTAAATCCAAAACCCTGTATTCCAAGCCCATATCCCTAAATCCTAAACCCTAAACCCTAAACCGTTAAACCCTAAACCCTAAACCCTAAACCCATGAGCCTTCAAAAAGAGAAATGCCAGGAGAAGGCCCGAGATTGCAAGCCCTACCGGGCCACCTTCGCACGCATGTTCTGTCCCTCGGTCCGGTGGTTGGAGATAGGTTTACTGTAGGACTACAGGAGCCTTAACAACAAGATAGGACCGAGTCGGCTTTTGAGTTATACAAACCTGAGCTAGATTGAATCCCAACAAAGTTGGAGAATTCAGGCGCCCCTATGTTGCTTGAAGGATCACAGGATTTAGTACGCAGGTTCGTCTAAGTACCGTGACCGCGAATTGCTTCACGCCTGGGGTTGCCTTTATGAACCCCTACTTGGAGGTTCAAGGGTAGTTATAAGTAGAGTTATAAGTCCCCTAGTATGGATATTAACTATCGTTACCCTATACTTATAACCTCATAATGCCCCACTTATAACTAAACCGCCTAAGCCCCTAAACCCCTAAGAGCTGCCTATGGGTCTTCCGGTAAAACCGTCGGGAGCGGGATCTTTCGGAGTGTCGGCACACCGGGGATCGGACTATGCACCCCAAAGGGCAGCATCCTTCGATGCAAGGACAGCCCCCCAAAAAGACCGTCGAATTATGACCCCCCCCCACCCCACTTATAGACCTGCGGAATTGACAGTAAAGTGTCGCAGTTCGACCTGGCTTGGTATCTGCGCGTACGGTACAGCAGTACACTATGCCACGAGCTGGTAGATGCTGCAGAAGCATGCCTAACCTGTCTAGAAGGCTTTCTTTTTGTGTCTCTTGACTACTCTCTGCTTCCCCTCCAGTCTCGTGCGGCATGTTCTGTAATTGCAACCCCTTGTGCCCACAAAAGCCCACCTTTCGGCACGAGCTCCCGATTATTTGCAAGAGTACGCGGAATCAGTCGAGCTCGGGCGCTGTGAGTGATATAGAACCCTAAATAAAGACCAAAATTGTTCCTGAAGGTTCCTGATTTTAACTGTACTGTAAAGGAGCCCAAGACCCCATTCTTACTAGTAAGGCTCTACATTAGTAGGCTTGTCAACTACAAAGGATTTAGGCTTTAAGCAGGGGCTTCACGTCGTATGTCGTGCGAAACTTGGGGCGACTACACTTCCACCTAAGCCTTACCAAGAAGCGTTACGTGCCGGGGCATCGTGAAAGCTTGCAAAAGTAGCCCGCGCGGCATGCTACCATCCATTTCATGATAGCATGCCTGGTTCTGCGGGAAGTTAGCAAATACCTTGCCTCGGGCTGCAAAAAAGTAATCACCGCGAATCCTTACATACTTACCCTAAACCCTAAACGCCAAAACCCTAAACCCCAAACCTCTAAACCCTAAACCCTAAACCCCAAACCACTTCCATGCGACTTACCCATGATCCTTCACGTGGAGGCGACCTGCACTGCGTACGGGATGCTGTCATTCGAGGCGTGTGCACACGGGGATTGTTCCGCTTGGAGGTTCGTGGGTAGTTGTAAGTAGAGTTATAAGTCGCCTAATATGGGCTATAACTTCATCTACCCTACTTATTATTATGTCCCCACATATAGCTTATAGCTTCAAGCTCTGACCACTTCAGGGTTTAGGGTTGATGAGGGTTTATTGGGGCTTTGTGTTTAGAGTTTTGGGTTGAAGCTGACCACACTAAGAAAGCCGTTTTGTCGAAGAGCCTGAAGTATCGACGCAAACGAAGAGAGCCTCGTGCTGTAGAATCCTTCTTGCCGCGGTAAACGAAGGAGGGAGACAGTCATCGGATCTGGTGGTGTAGTATAGGGTTTAGGGTTTAGGGTTTAGGGTTTAGGGTTTAGGGTGTAGTAGTATAGGGTTAGCCTACAAACTTGCGCAGAGATCAGGATCAAGAAGAGCTGTAAGACTTTAGGAAAGCTACAGTGGTGTTGTTTGCAGGGTGGCAGGGGCCTGGGGAGGGTCGGCTGCGGGTTGTAGGTGAGGTTTGGGGGAGACGAGCAAGCGGAAAGAAAGGAAGCCAAAGGAAGCGCTACTTCAGATAAACAACACTGGGTCCTTGTTGGATAAAAATTTTACATTTTTGTTATAATACGACCCTAATAAGGATTAAAAGTGATCAGTTTTTCTGTAGCACCAACAGGGAACCAGAACAGATAAGCCAAGTCATTAAGACACTTCAAGAGGGTGCGGGAAGGCAGCCGAGGACCTCAAGTTATGCGGGCCGGATAGGAGGGTGGCATTTGCTTGACCTCGGGCAGGGTTTCAGCCGTAGTGTCAGGGTACCCCAAGCCAGTGACTTCAAGCTATAGCCACCTTCGTCTAACTACCTCGCCTCAGGAAGCTGATCGAACGCATTTAAAAGCCCCAAAACCCCTAAGCCCTAACTCTAGGACATTTTCAGGTGGGTAGTTACCGTTATAGGAGCCTTATAGAAGGTCTATATACCTCATAGAAGCCTTATGGAAGCCCTATATACCCTAAACTCCCCACCTGTAGTTTCCTTTAAAAAACCGTCCTAACCCTGAACCTCGGAGGGCCGACTCTGTATCTTGCTTTGCTCACCAGGCGACCGGACGATCCTCCGGAACTTGCAGAAAGCCACGGCCGCCCAGCTCCCGTGAGGTGTAGCGTAGGGCTTGCAACAATTAGTACGACTATCACCGTAAGCATTCCTACCAGGATTCCTTTAGAAGGTAACCTTCTAAGGGATCTATGAGGGTTTAGGATTTTAAGGGTCGCGATCATGGAGTTAAGGAGCTTTGTGGGGCCCAAAGGTTCCAGAGGGCTACTGGTGAGACACTGATTGCATGTGAGTGTACGTGACGGGTTGACGTCAGCGAAGTCTCAGCCACAAACGACGATCAATCGCTAAGGACGTCACAAATGGCAACACCGAGAAGCTTGCGGCAGCCTGGCCATGCTTCGGCAAGACCCAGAGTCTGCAGTCGTTGCTGCACTTCCCGTGGGAGATTTCTGTTTGTCGCTGATCCGTCACTTTGAGTTCGGTCGACTGCCGGCTAAATTCCCCGGAACGAACTTAGAATCCTGCAGTAGCCGCTCCCTAGCCCTTTTTTCATAACCTTGTAGTAGCTGCTCTTACAGTAACGCTATGTAGCACCCCTTTTTTTTTTAATAACCTTGTAGTAGCTCTTACACTAACGCTATGTAGCACCCGAAGGCCGAACTGAACGTCTCAGGGGTGGATTGTGAAGACGGCGCAGCTGGATGCGGGTTGGCTGGGGGAGAAGATTGATCACCAGTCTTTGGTGCAGGGCATCGAGCCTTGGAATGGCGAGGGTTTAGGAGGAGGATTTAGGGGTTTGGGGTTTTTGGGGTTTTGGGGTTTAGGGGTTAGTGCGGTTAGTGGTTTAGGAGGAGGATTTAGGGGTTTGGGGTTTTGGGGTTTAGGGTTTAGGGTTTCATTGTCTGGCAATGTAGACCCTGATGAGAACGCCTCCTGCCTCTACACGGAGCATATCCCGTGAAGGATCCCATTCTGTTTGCCCCATCAGGGTTTCAGATCATGAGAGCCTAGGATACTTAGACCTGCACCATCTTCCGCAAAAGAGCCTCTTGCGCGGTTCGCTTGAAACCTGAGGATTCGGGGCTTAAGCTTTAGAGTTTAGGGAATTGGGGTTAGGGCTTAGGGTTTAGGGGTTTGGGGTTTAGGGTTAAGGAGTTTCGAGTTGTCGGGTTTAAGGGGTTTAGGTCTTCCTTCCGTCTTGCCTTGAGGAGAATAAGAAGGAGTTCACGGCGATCAGGGAGATGATCGAAGGCGCGGCCCTGAGGAGACAAGAGGCTCTTCGAGATGGCACGTCTGACCCGGCCGCCAAACCATCCCATGTGTTCCATTCTTGGGCTTTATGTGGCACTACTGGGAAGGGGCCCAAATGATCACCAATACTATTTGGGGCTTCCTCACTAAAAGCTACAGTAGAATAGCACCCAGAACCCTATTCCAATGATACAGGCCCCCATGTTTTGCTTCAGGACCCCCGAATTCTGAACCTGGTGTAAACTCTGGAATCTTACAAGTATGATGCCTAGGCCCTATAAACCCTAAACCCTAAACCCTAAGCCCCAAAAAAACCCTAAACCC